TCCTTATTAGACATTCTCTGGTAGAATGCTAAAATAGCATTACCTGTGATATGCTAAAATGTTAAGCATGTTATAATGTTTCTTGCTCTGCATTAAGTTTTGCCTAAGCAAACATTGGATATGAAACATTTAGCATGTTAACATTCAAATGGAACCATTTATTTATGCTAGTTTGAACAGAAGATGTTATATTAACACTGTCATAGGTCTAACATTAGCATGTTAGCATGAAGCATTTAACATGTTATGGTAAATTCAAATGGAAATGTTTATGTAACATTCTAGCATTAATGTTTCGTATTACCATAACATTAGCACAGTAACTGTAATGTTAGCGTGGACAGACAGGCTTGTTGTTTCCCCGTTTCCTGTATATGCTATTCTAACCAGCTGCTGGCTGTAGCTTCATATTTATCAGGTTAATCAATCAAAGCATCTAACTCTCCGAGAGTTAAAATGATCGAATTAAAGAAAAATATTTATTTATCGACTTCTACAAGTTTCTGAAATAGGAGGATTTCGTTGTGCACAGAAAAAACAGGAATCAGCAAAAGTAGCTTAAAAACGTAACGGAAAGGAGTGTATTTGGTGCATAAATGAGTTTCTATACTCCGGAGCGCGTCCTTTCCGATCTTCTTTTCTCCTTTCAGATAATCACATGGACAGTTTTGGGGTTTAAGGAAGTTTCTGGTTCCTCTCAAATGATTTTGGTGACTTCCTGTTTGCTGAGGAGGACTTCCAGCAGGCGGAGTTTAGCCTTGAGCTGTTTGTATTCCTGGTACTCCTCCTTCATCGGAGTTCGATCCTCTTTCTGGCAGATTCTGACAGTAAGAACACAAGAGTTGGTATCAGTGAGTGTGTTTACAGCTGCATCGTGGACAGCTCTGAAAATAAAAACCACCACGATCCTGAGGTGGTCTGGTTCTGACCACATATCTTTTGTTAATGAACACCAGAAACAAACCACTGCCGGTTGTTGTCTCTTACCTTCCAGTCTGACGGTAAAACTCGTCCTCAAACTCTCTCAGAGCTTTACGCCTCGTCTTCTTCTCCGACCTGGTCTCCCGCAGACACTGCAGCAGCTGAGACCTGGTTTGGATGGAGGACAGAGTTTAAGTTAGAACAATTTTAACCCCAAATTTGATGCCAGACTCTAATGAAAAGAGAAAAGCATGGAAGCTCCACCTGGACGAGAGTTCTTAGTTGCTTCTGAATGGAGTAGTACCTGCAGTACCAGAGGCTGCACTTTCAGGACCACAATCCCAGGACCACGTTTGTACGACTTTAGTCATCAAGTTCTTTTGTGCCGAATTGGATGACCAACCACTGCATTTCAAGGACACATGATTGCAAGACGAGATGGACGACAACCAGAGTGTGAGTAAAGTTACTGAATGTGATGCAACTTTTAATTTTATTTGTTGCTTGTTGTTTGTATAAAATTAAAAAGAATCTTGAACCATCCACAGATTCATCCTTGTTTTGTCTCTCTCCAACCTTTCAAGTGTCTGGTAGAGATCTAGTGACTGCACAGGCATATCACATGATTACATTTTTATTTGACCTTACCTTAATAAGCCAATTACACAAACTGCCCAACATGTAACTCTGTATACTATAAGTAATTGGATAAAGTAGTATTTCGGTGGAATAAACCTTTAAAACTTTAACAGAAAGTAGGACATGGCTAGGTGGCACTATCGTGTAAAACTAGGGTCGTAGAAATGCGGCCCTGAAAACGCAGCCTCCGCTACTGCAGGAACATATACTTGTCTTTAACTAAAATAACATCCACAAACGTCCACCGACCTGGATGCTTCGTGCAGGTTGGCCATGGTGAGCACAGGCTGCTGATGGACAGCTTTCACCTCGTCTAACGGAGACACGAAGGCGGGGTCGCTGTCCCGGTCGCTGTCCTCCTCGCCGGCAGCCGCTCGGGCCACTCTGCGCGGAGGCGGCACGGGAAGTTCGATGACTGTTGGGGTCATTGAGCTCATTGAGTCTTCATCAGAACCGTCCTCTTCCTCCTGACACACAGAAGCAGTCACAACAGAGAAACAACTCGTTTACCAGAAGTGGAGCTACAGAGTTTGTTCTGAGGGTAAATCCTCTGCAAAGTTTGGCTGCAGAAAAATAAGGGGGACACAATAAAGTCTGGGCTTCTTCAGTAAAAACACAAAATATGATAATTAATGAAGAGTCTCATCTGATCCTGATCCTCAACGTTATATTTACTGGGAGAGAACGGAGACTTTGTAAACATATATTAACCCTGCACAGACAGTAAAAAAGGACATTGTCCTCTCGATTTATTGACATTATGCTACTTTAGAGAGATATTCAATTCAATTCAATTCAATTTTATTTGTATAGCGCCAATTCATAACAGAAGTTATCTGCAGGGAAACTTTTCAAATAAGCAAGGTCTAGACCGAATCCTTTTAACCATTTAACAGAGAACCCAACAGTACCACCATGAGCAAGCAAGATATAAGAGATGTCAGACACGATGCACATCGGTAATTTAATCGACAGTTACACTTCTGAGGAGTTTGTACAGGGTCTTGTTCTCTTGATAGATTTAATCACTTCTGTCATCATGTTGTCCTGGTTTCAAGATGGGTGTCCTAATGCTAATGGTAGCATGCTAACAGTAGTGAGCGTGTGTGTGTTTCTCACTATGGTGGTGATGGTCGGGCTGGCACACAGTAAACGTTTGATCATCTGGTATCTGTCGTACAGAGGTTTCACCAGGTTCCTCTCCCGTTTGGTTCCCTGACAGACAGACAGACAGACATGAGACGTGAGACACTGTTGAAGCTGGCAGATGTGATTAAAGGTTAAACTTTAGAGACGGTTGCTGTGGCAGTGATGGTTTATTTACTCTCCGTTCTTCCTTTGTTCTTTTGGTATTTTAAATGGTGCCCTCTAGATGGTGCCGTTACTCACCGGCCGGCCGTGCAGACTCTCAAAGTACAGCAGACATTTCTGCAGAGTGATCTTCTCCAGCACCATCTGAGCCTGAGTCATCTCCTGCACACACACACACACACACACACACACACAACCCTTACAGATCATATCCACAGTCATATTGTACCTCTATTTAACATTGTATGCCAAAATTGAATCCATCACAAAAACTCAACTCCATCGCTGGTACAAAAACAAAAACATAAACTGACTAATTCAACGCGTTGTCATTCACCTCAGTACTTTCAGTCATAGAAATGAACATGCAGAGCAGACTGTCAGAAGAGGGCGAATGAAACAGAGCAGAAAATGATCAGGGTTTGGTGAGGGTGCGTGAGTGAAAGTTGTGTTACCTTCATGTTGTCCGGCAGGCCCAGAGCTTGTCTCTTCTCTCTCAGTCGTCTGAACAGAGACTCCACCGTTTCCTCCAGTGTGGGTTTGTGCTCTGATGCCCCCTGCTGGCCGGAGACGTACCTGCAGGACACATTTACACTGACGATATACTGATGATATACTGACTATATACACGCTGTGTCCATGTGCACTGATGTGTGGGTGTTACCTGCAGTTGTTTTCAGGACCCTCCGGCTCCTTCGACTCAAACACCGATTGCCTGAGTCTCAGCTCTGCAGAGGACACACAGTACCTTAATACACATTCAACGGAAACGCTTCCACATTCACAGGTGGGGTGAAAATGGTGTCTGAGACTGTCTGGATATCAGTCACCAGATAAGTGAACTGATCTGTGAATTAACAGACCAGACTGATGGTTTTACCTTTGAGATGTTTGCGAGCAATCGCTAGCTCACTCATCACTCGGATCATCTCTGGGTTGGAGTATTTATCGTTGTGGGACGGCTAGAAAAACACATCACAAAACCATCAACATCATTTCTACACAACAAGAAGTAAAAAAAAAACTGGACCAAAGTCTAAAATAAGCTAAGTAAGAAGGCTACATCAAATGACAGCTAGCTGGCTTAAAGTAAAGCTAAGTTACATCACTGATTTGTTGAAAATAACCATTTTGATGAATTGACATTTTGGTTTGTTTGTTCTATGACATTAAACTTGGCTAAACTCCTGCTAAAAATAGCTAGCTTAGCATAAAGGTAGCTAGCTTAACACATCTCAGTAGCTGCCATCTTATTTAAATTTACTGAATTTCACATGATTTAGTGTTAAATTCACTTTAAATAATAATTTTAAATACTACTACTAATACTAATAATAATATATATTGTAAAAACTTTATTTATACAAAACGAAGTTACAAGGTTCTTTACGTCCTGTAGTTGCTGCCTTTGCAATCTGCTTTATGAATTAACATTAACAGCCCTCTGGGTCCTGGATTTGATTGTGGATTGGAGTCCACACTGTGTTAAATGGTAAATGGACCTGTACTTGTATAGCGCCTTTCTAGTCTTCTGACCACTCAAAGCTTTTACACTACGTGCCTTCACATACTCAGTGATGGCAAAGTACAGTACAATTAATAACAATTCATACACACCGATGCTATGCATCGGAGCAATTTGTTGGTTCAGTATCTTGCTCAAGGATACTTCGACACGTGGCAGGAGGAGCCGGGATCGAACCAAACAACCTTCTGATTGGGGGCGACCCGCTCTGCTCCTGAGCCACAGCCGCCGTGTTCACCTTGTAGTTCATCTCCTGTTCAAAACTGATCCTCGAACCTGCGGACTTCTTCTTCAAGGTCTGAATCTGTCTGCTGAGAAACGGGATGGAGGAGGGACACTCGCCTCAGACCCTCGGCCTGTCCCGACCCCGACAACCTGACACAGACAGGTAGCAAGACACAGACAGACGACAGATTAATGTTTACCGCTTTTTTCATTCAATTCAATTCAATTTTATTTATATAGCGCCAATTCATAACAGAAGTTATCTCAGGACACTTTTCAAATAGAGCAGGTCTAGGTCAGTTCTACTTTTACCTATACTTTTGTACCTGAGCAGAAAATATTCTTTATGCTGATTCTTTTACATCATATTGTAGCCTGTTAGCCTGGTGCCACATTATCGAGGTCCCAAAACCATCTTTGGGAAAAATTTATTTGACTTTGATTTTTTAGTTTGTCCAATGTGCCACCAGGGGATAGCTGTCATGTCGTCCATCTTTATATATGTCGAAGGTCTGAACAGGAGATTTAATGATGAGAAGAAAAATACTTTGAATAGACGCAGAAGATATAGGAAGTTACTGTTGGTGTCTTCAGTAAACAATAAAGAGAGGAGAGGAAGTGGACTGTAGTGGTGACATAAAGACCAGAAACTGGGTCACCAACACATTTGAACCTTCAGCTTCAGGCTGTGGGTCAGAGAACAGAAGAGGGTGGATTATATAAGATGTTTTAATGCAGCAGAAAGGACAAACTGTACTTTAAATACTTTAATACCCAGAAAGCCTGGAACAGGATGTTGGTGGGGCTGAACTGAGACAAACCAAAGTATCGTTGGATTTCCATTAGAACGCCACTAATAGAAATCTGTCCTCTCTTACTCAGAAACAAGGGACTGGATAATGTTGGCATTGGTTATAACACAGAACAGATGTTTGATAACTCCAACATCTTCTGCATGGCCAAAAGTATGTGGACATTGAACACGTCGTTCCTAAACCACTGAGGACACCAAGAAATAAAACATACATTTTAATCTTGTGTTTCTGTGTTAATGTTGATTTATCTAAAAATAAAGATCAAAAGATCAAAATCTTTTCCAATGCAAAAAAACTTAGTTTGAAAGAGAATTGTAACTTTTAAGTCCAGACTAACAAATCCCAAGTTTAAACCTAATTCAGGGTCAACTTTATTCCCAAATCAAGACCAACAAGGGCAAAGATTAGCCACAATTAATTTAGGGTCATGTCTAGTCTGAAGTCAAAGCACAAAGTCTGAAGTTTATTCCAGTTCAAGACCACATGACCCAAGTCAGTTTCCAAAGGTAAGACCCAATGGTCCATAGTCATAACTAAAGGTTCCCAGTCTAGTCCTAAACCAGTAAACAGACCAGTTAGCAGACAGACAGGTGAGACTCACAGTATGTACTGCTGGCTGCAGGGCGGTGACGGTGCAGTGTCGGGGTCGGAGTTGAACCTGTGGCTGAGGCTGGGGCAGCGGGGGGAGGGCAGAGGGCTGGGACCGCCTGCTAGCAGCTGGAGGAGAGCTCCACCTCCTCCGTCTCCTCCCCCTCCTCCTCCCTCACCTCCGGGGCTGCTCCTCTGGGGGGAGTAGGGGGAGTGGTGAGGGCTCGGGGGCAGCGCTCCGTCAGGGGTCAGGGGCTGCTGGCCAGGGTGGATGGCAGTTAACGGATGGTGTCTTGGAGACTGCGGAGGTCTGGACAGGACTGTCAGCAGCTCTGCAGACACAAATATTAATATTAAGTCATATCAGTTCCCTTATTTAGCATTTATAATCCATATATACACCTCTAACTCGCTGTAATGCAGTTCTAACAAATATAAGCACATGTTTAAGGGTTTATTAATGTACAGTACTAGTCAACAGTCATAATTCCTCATATGAAGATTTTATATAATTACCTAAAACAACCTCTGGAAATACCTTAAGGACCTCTAAAACCTGGTTAGTGCCCGCAAGAACAACCATAGGGATCTCTAAAACCCAAGATCTCTATAACCTCCTCTGTGACCAAGAGAACCACCTAAAGAACCTCTAGAAGCTTTACTAGAACTCAGTGTCCGCTAGAACAACATAAAGAACCTCTAAAACCTTGTCAGTGACTGCAAGAACAACCATAAGGATGTAGAACCACCCCATAAATCAGCTGAAGGACCAACAGAACCACAGTGAAACTGGTTTGGCACCTTGCCTGAAATGAGATGAATGAATGAAATAAAGAACATAATAAACAATACAGTTGATTGTTTGATAAGAATATGTTCTTGTGATGAAGGAAACCTAAATTGTGTAAAAGCAGATTTCGAGGCAGTGGAGTGTAACGGCGGTCAGTCAGTGTGTGTCACGTGCTGCATGTTGCACTATAAATAGCAGCACTCACGGAGCGTGGCTGCTGGCGTGCTGTGCAGAATGAGCAGAGTCATCAGGAACAGCACACTGATGAATCCGTTAATGGATGAATCCAGCCGGAATATTTACTGTCAGGAGAATGAAATCAGTGAAGCACTGACAGAGAAACACCCTGTTTCAGTTAAACTGTGGTTTGTTTGCACTGCTAGCTTAGCATTTTCCTAGCGAAGCTTCAGCAGAGGGGTGTGAATGAATGAAAGGGAGGATGGAAACACTGACCCGTAGTTTGGGGGAGTGTCAACTCACGTCATGGATTTGCATAGAGGACAGAATGACACTGGAAAGGAGAGAATATGTTGACCTGATGAATGTAGCTGAGACAGACAGACAGGTGAATGTACCTGGCGGGCTGTTCTCATCAGCAGGGATGCTGTGGCACAGAGCCAGCGTCTTCCTCTCCTTCCCTCCGAGCTCCACCGGGCCACAGGGGCTCTTCTGCTCCTTGCTGCCCAGGGCAGGGGGGCTCTCCTCTGGGGACGGACCCAGCGAGGGCCCCCCCTCCACCTCCAGCGCCTGGAGCTTCAGCAGCGAACTCTGCAGGCAGAAGCAAAACATGCCAGACACACTCCAGAGATTACCTGGTCCCAGGGGAGGGCTGTGTGTAGACCCACAATACAGAGGAGAGTCCAGTTTCTTAGGGCACTGTTATGAATCAAGAATTCCAGATATTAGCCAGATCCCAGCCTCTGCAATACCACATGTGGAGGAGTGGCACAGATGCTGTTCAGGATGTAGTCTCCCCACACTCTAAAAGATGAGGCAATTAGTCAGTTATCATCCAGTGAAACAAGGCATGCTGCCCCCCGCTTGTCCAGCTCTTCCAGAGATTAGTCAGTTACGATCCTCATACAAGTGAATATTAGAAAGAGAAATACAAACGTTCCCTCTTCCTTTGGTTTTTTTTTCTTAACCTCTCTTCCCTCCAGCAATTAGCCAGTTTCCGTAAATGTGGGAATTATAATCCAGTTAGAAATATCAATTCACCTTCTTCCTTGTGTTTTCAGCATGTGTCCAGGAATTAGCCAGCTCCAGTGTGAACGAGGAGCTGGAAGGTTTTGAATTTTCATCCTCTCGTTCCGCACGTTCACTGATGATGATGATGATGATGCTGATGCTGCGCTGGTTTCCTCCCTCGCTCCCCCCTTTCTCTCTCTCTCTCTCTCCCATTAGTTCTCTGCCTCTCTCGCCCTCCCTCGTTGGATTACTCATCCTCGGGCTCGTGGAGGAGAAAGGAGGGAGGATGGAGGGAGGGGGGAGGAGGACAGGGGGTGTTTGCACGCTCTCCCGAGATGGTTGGGAGAGAGAGAGAGGTAGAGAGACATATGGGAGACATGAGGGCGCCTCTCTCTCTTTGTGATCGTGAGGTTTTTCCCGCATCAGTGGGGGATGGGCTTGTTGCTGACATCACTGCGTGTGTGTTTAAATCTCATTCATAAAAATGCGAGGAGGAGGAGGAGTAGCTACGTGCTTGCTTACACACACACCAGCAGTTTAACCCTTTAACGTCCAGTTTTCTCTTTTATTTCACCTTTAAGTTGTTTCTGATAGTCAAACATGAGTTTTAATCTCTGACTGTCTAACATACACTGATAAATCTCCATTTTAATGTCCATTTACATATGGCCACGCCACCAATGACTCCAAATATGGTCAACACTTCCCTCTGAAAGTCCTACAAGTCTTAGGGCCTGTCCACACGAATACGCGGCCTCACCCAATACGATGTCATTTCGAAAAAAATGGGGTCGTTTCCAGAAATATCTGCGTCCACACGGATTCACTGGAAACGACCCAAAACGCTGT